TAAAAACTAATCCGAAAACCCCTACATATGTAACTATTCCGAAAATATCTTGACTACTCCGAAAATGTATGACCTCAAAACAAGTTTCATTATTCGAAAAAATGTACTCCGAACTATTCCGAATAACTCCGAAAATTATGAGTCGCTACCAATAAACGAAAATGCAATTTTTTAGTGTAAATAAGTCATATTTTCAAGAAAAACTTTTAAAAACGTTACTCCGAATTGTTTGTTTTGTTTTGACAAAAATTGTAAAATTACGTACCGAATACGAACTAATAAATTTTGTGCACTTGGAAAAAGTTCTATTTACTACACCCATGTGGCAAAAGAAAAGTCTAAGCAATATCAAAAGCAGCGCCTGGAATTTTTTACCTCCGCAGCCGAAATTCGAGTAGATTTAATTCGATTTGATAGCAAGGAATTAAAATTTTTATACATTTAGCACACCGATAACCTGCAGCAACAACAACAGCAACTGAAGCTATCAAACAAAAATGTGTCATAAATCAGGCAACCGAAAAAACACCAACAGGTGGTGACAACCAGGCATTCAGCATGTGCAGTTAAGCACTGCCTTTATGCAGGTAGACAGATAGCAAACACCGTTGCTTACGGCGCACCAAGCAATTATGCGTCCCTTTTTCGGCAGCCAGTGCAGCGGAATGGCAACACTTTTACCTGCCTCAGTGTTTTATGCGGGTAATTTGATATTAATTTTTAATGTGGCTGAAGTAAGGGTGTGTGTTGTACATATGTAGTTGGTATATACATAGGAAGTTTTTAAGGCGCATATTTCCCTTTGCAAAGCCTCTTACCGAATTTGCGGGCGACTTTCTTAAAGAGTTGCCTGCCTATGCAACAGGCAATGAAGCAACAAGTTGTGTCATAAACTATTGACATGCGATATTTACATTTTTTGTTTCAACTTTTTTGCATATTTATTATTTTTTCAATTAGTTTTCAAAGAAAAAAGTTGAAATTTTTTAAAAAAATTATTTAAAATTTATTTTGTGTTTTGTTTTTTTGTTTTGTATAAATATTTAATACAATCTACTCAATTAACCTAACCTTTGGCTTTGACTCCTTTCTCCCTACATTCGGCTGCGTGGTGCTCGGTGTTGTTTTTTCCCTGCCCGCTGATTGGTCAATTTATGGCGAAGTGCCGTGCCAACGCCACAACCTACGCAAATTTTGATTGGCTCAGCGAAACTACAAATTTCGTTAGATTTCATTTTATTTATATTTTTTCCTGCTTTTATTTGCATTTAATCAGCTAATTTGCTGTTTGCCACCTTTTCATGCATATGCATACATTCGTACATACATACGCATGTATGTGTTTGTATGTGCTATATGTATATATATATGCATTTGCTGGGATGTTTTTGGCATTTTATATGAACTTTTGTTTTTTCTTGTGTGTGTGTGTGTTGAAACAATTGCTATAACAGTTTTTTGTTATCAGCTTTAGAAGGGGCTTTGGTACGTACTGTATTTAAGTTCATGTGTACTTGGTTATGAGATTATATGTCTTATATAAGCGATATGGAGTGATCGTTTGAAGATCCTCAATGATTATAATTTATCTAGTGATTTTGGCTGTAATCTTATTTTTCAAGTATTTGGTTTCCTTTTAGTTTAGCAGCACATAACATACCATAATTAACATGGATTTATTATTTTTATTAACCCACAAGATTTTTATTAATGTAGTTTGAAAAAAAGTTTGCAAAAATCTCCAAAGCTCACACAGATCTCAAAAAAAGATTATATTTTTCGAATTTGATATTGGTAAATTTTGATATTTTAGTTTTTAATAGTTTTTAAA